TGATCTCAGCTCAGTGCAACCTCCACCCCAGGTTCAAGACATTCTCAGCCTCCCAAGTAGCTGCAGTTACAGGCGTGCACCACGGCACCTCGCTAATTTTTTGAATTTTTAGTAGAGAAGGGGTTTCACCATATTGGCTGGTGTGGAACTCCTGACCTTGTGATCTGCCCGCCTTGGCCTTTCAAAGTGCTGGGATTACAGGGATGAGCCACTGCACCTGGCCTTTAACACATTCTTGAGCTCTTGACTTGCGTAACTTTTGATGTGGGAGGATGCCTTGACACGAGATCGGTATCTCCTTTTACGTCATGACTCCTTTCTTCATGAAATGTTACTCATGATGTTATTTCTGTGATTATCTTACATTGTCATTGTCCCACCAGGCCTGTCTGCTCACTGTGGCATGCTTTGTCTAGGGTAAATGCTTGCTAGATATTTTATGACTTGCTCTCTTTTTCAACAGGACAAATTGATGGCCAGGAGATCACTGCCACCGCTGTGCTGGCACCCTGGCCTAGACCACCCCCCAGGCGATTCAGCCCTCCCAGGAGAATGCTGCCACCACCACCCATGTGGCGCAGGTCTCCCCCACGGATGAGGAGAAGGTAAACAATTTGTAGTTTCAGTGAACTGATCAGGCCACAAACCTCATGTGACCACAGTGACTTTGGGACCCTTTATTCAGCCCTGCCTGCCTTCCACTGCTGTGTGGGTTAGGGGTGGCAGAGAGTAGTAGCCTGTCAGAGCTCATGGGGAAAGCAGGAGGGTCATGGCTGCAGTGAGCAACAGCAGGAGAGGCCCTAGCGTGCACCAACACAGCTTTATAAGTCTGAGCAGTGACATGGCGTGACGTGGCCTTCCCAGTAGACCGTTAGACCTGTGAGCCCAGGTGAAGGCCCACTTTTTTCCGAGCTAACAAGAAGGGCTAGGAGAGGAGAAAGTTGGGTGTCAGAGGAGTTGGTGGGAGGTGGGGGTGGTAATCCCTTGCCAAAGGCCACAGTTTGGCCTTCTCTTGCCAGTGGTGAGCTATGCTTTCAGCCTTTGGGCAAGAGGAAGAAAGCCTGGGCTTCTGCCTTGGGTCTCAGGAGCCCCCGTTGCCAAGAGCTCAGGGGCAGGCCCATCAGTTGGGACCTGTCCCAACTTTTTGTACTAAAATGTAAAACTATGGAGAATTGCCCGGAAAGAAGCCACCTTGCCCCTACAGTCTGAACTCTTCTGATGTGCTTTCTCCTCTTCCTGCAGATCCCGCTCCCCAAGGCGCAGGTCCCCTGTGCGCCGGCGATCACGCTCCCCAGGCCGCCGCCGCCACAGGAGCCGCTCCAGTTCCAACTCCTCCCGTTAAGCAGGCCACTGAATCTCTCACCCCTGTAACTTATACCCCACCCAGCTCAGTTTTGTCACCTTTCTAGCCAAAGGGAGATCAGTAGGAAAGCAAACCCCTCACTTGGGCAGGCATTGCAGGCAGCAGGCAGCACTCCTCTGCCGGCTGGGCTCTGGCTGCCGAAGTGCTGTTGGTGTGTGTTGTGCCTGCCAAGATGCCCTCCGAGTTTCTGGCTAGAAAGCTCACCCGTTTTCAGTTTCTGAGAGTCAGTTCAGTGACAGAGCCACCAGGGATGAGTGAGGCTCTTGGGGGGGTGGGGGGTGACCCTGCCTGCCTGGGAGCACATATTTCCCTTCCCTGGTGACCAGGGATGGTGGCCAGGCCTTGCCCTTGCTGTTGCTGTACAGTGTCCTTTTGGAAAGGGAGCTGTCCTGGGCTTTACTTTAGTGCAGCTGCCAACCCTGTTAGGCCCGGCCTCTTAAAGCCTCTTCCAATTTCAAGGGTCAGACATCCCCTAAGAGCCTCTCACCCGTGGTAGTTGCTGTGCATGGTTCTCTGTCCGTGCACTCATGCACACACCCCACCCCATCGCCCTACTGTGAAACTGATGAGTGAGTTGAGAGCCAGCTTTGCTGGGTCACCATGCAGCCCCAGTTGTGCCTGCCCTTCAGGTTACCTTGGCAACATGTACATTGCTTTTTTTTTTTTTTGCTTTTATTGTACAGTCAGTACTATAAAATTTGTTTGAGTTTTAAAACTTTGTAGCATTTTAGATGACATTGTGTTTGTACTTTGTTGTGTAGAGTGGAAGAATTGTGTTAAATAAATGCAGGATTGGAATGCAGGTCTAGTACTGGGTTCACTGCCTTCTCACTGTTCCCTCGCCCCCTTATAGCTTTCTGTTACTCATTATCCACAGTGGCACCTCCAGTGCCTTCAGGCAGGAGAACCTAGGGTTTGTGTGCTGTGGGTATTAAGTTGCTCCTATGGTGGACAAACAGGAGAAGGAGGTGTTTTTATTAACTTCTCTGAAGCTGGAATTTCTACCTGACCAGAAACATGGAGAGAGAGAGTGTGTGTGTGTTGAGAGTGTCTCACTGTATTGCCCAAGCTGGTTTTTACCATCTCGGAAGCTGCAGTTTCTTCCTGACCAGAAACATGCAGAGAGTTAGTTTAGAACATGCAGAGAGCGAACGTGTGTATGTGTGTGGTAAATTTTTTGTAGCAACGGGGTGTTGCTGTGTTGCCCAGCTGGTCCTGAGTCACTGGGATTACAGGCATATGTCGCCATGCCAGGCTTGCTTCCTCCTCCATTCAGTGGCCATTTCTCCACCTCAGAAATTGGTTTGAGACACAAGGAAGAATCTTAAATGCTTAACATCTTAAGAACCAAAGTTGAGACCACCAAACACTGCTGGGACCTCACTGCCCGGTGCTCCCAGTGGTCGGACCAAGATTCCACACCAGACAGTGCAAAGGCCCACTCCCCAGCCCCCGCTCATGGCCCAGCGGGAACAGACTCTGTTCTTATCCTTCGGCATTTCTCTGCAAATAAAAATTTAAGAGGTGCCACTGCGGTTCAGCCTTTGTGCATTTGCCCATGTGCTGGGCAAGGCCGGGTGGCCTGTTCTGACCGCCGGGCTCACCCCAGGCACCCCTGACCTCCCTCACGCTCCCCCACCCCCCCTCACGCTCCCCCACCCCCTCTCCCCCGAGTGGGGCTCGGTGCTCTGATCGCCTTTCCAATGCCGGTGCTGCGGTAGCTGTGCCTGGCCAAGAGCTCGAGCTCACCTGAGCACCGGCAGCCTCCTGCCTACAGTGCCCCGCGCTGGAGAAGAGCCTGCCCTGGCGCCGCGTGGGTCGTGGCTGCGTCTGCAGAGGGCCGGCTTCTCCCTGCGCCTTCCTGCAGGGCAGCCCTGGCCCAGAGCCCGGTGCCTGCCCCGGAAGCGTGCGGCTGCCTGGGACGAAGGGACGAACCCGGCGGGCGGCGGCCTCAACCCGGAGGTGGAGGCAGTAACCAGACTCCGGGAACGGGGCGGGGCCTGGTCCCGGGGTGAACTCCGGCCCATTCTCACTAGGCCAGCGACTCGCGCCTGGTGCGTTCCGTTCAAGATGGCGCTGGCGGCTGCTCTGCGAGTCCCGGCGCGCTTCTTGCTCCGTGCGGGTGCGAGACCCGGGGCGGGCGGGGGTCGGGGTGGAGGTCGGGCCCCAGCTGCGGCCGGGGACTAACGGGCCCCTCCACGCTGCTTTCCCAGGGTCCCGGCTCCAGGGCGCGGCCCTCGGGCTGACGGAGCGGGCGGCCGGCGGCGGGGACGGCGCGCGGCGCTTCGGGAGCCAGCGGGTGCTGGTGGAGCCGGACGCAGTCCCAGGTGAGCGGGCGGCGCCGAGGGAGGGCGGGCACGGGGCTGGGACCCGCGTGGGTCCGCGTTCGCGGGGCGGTGTCGGAGAACCGCGTCTATCGACGCTCAGTTTCTAAGCAGAACGTTGTTGCTCTACCTGGGTTCGTTCGTCGTGAGGTAAAAGTTTCTCTTTCTAAAGTGGGCGGGGATATGATATGTTACCTAAGCTGTTCAATTGGAAGTGGAAAAGAATTGGAATATTTTGGAATAAAATGATGTTGGTTCACAGTCCCATGTGGCACAGAACCTCGTACCCACCATCAGAACCCTTAGTAAAACCCACCAGAAGGGATAGGAAAGGCGCTTTTGAAAGAGAAGCCTGCGCGCTCCGTCCAGGCAGGAGGCCCAGCTGAGGGCACCGCAGCTCCGCTTCCAGGACATGCTGACCCCGGGCCTCACGGTGCAGGCCTCGGCCTTTCCACAGGGGCCCTCCCCCTCCGCACATAGGTCACAGCCCCTGCCTTCCCCAACCCCTCAAACTCAGGGCTGTGCCCTGACTTGGCAATGCCATTCAGGACATAAGCATAGGCAGTGACTTCATAACTAAAACATCAAAAGCTGGCCGGGCGTGGTGGCTCATGCCTATAATCCAAGCACTTTGGAGGCCAAGGTGGGCGGATCACCTGAGGTCGGGAGTTCAAGACCAGCCTGACCAACATGGTGAAACCCCGTCTTTAAAAAAAATAAAAAAATAAGGAGGCTGAGGCAGGAGAATTGCCTGAACCCAGGAGGCGGAGGTTGCTCTGAGCCGAGATCGGGCCATTGCACTCCAGCCTGGGTAACATGAGTGAAACTCTGTCTCAAAAAAAAAATTAAAAAATTTAAAAAAACACCAAAAGCAATGGCAACAAAAGCCAAAATAGACAAATGGGATCTAATTAAACTTAAGAGCTTTTACACACCGAAAGAAACAATCATTAGAGTGAACCAGCAACCAACTGAATGGGAAAAAGTATTTGCAATCTATCCACTTGACAAAGGACTAATATCCAGAATCTACAAAGAACCTAAACAAATTTACAAGAAAAAAAATCAAAAAGTGGGTGAAGGATATGAATAGACACTTTTCAAAAGAAGACATTTATGCAGCCAACAAACATGAAAAATGCTTATCATCACTGGTCATTAGAGAAATGGAAATCAAAACCACATTGAGATCTCATGTCAGTTAGAATGGCGATCATTAAAAAATCTGGAGATAACAGATGCTGGAGAGGATGTGGAGAAATAGAAACACTTTTACACTGCTGGTGGGGGTGTAAATTAGTTCAACCATTGTGGAAGACAGTGCGGTGATTCCTCAAGGACCTAGAACTAGAAATACCACTTGACCCAGCAATCCCATTACTGGGTATATACCCAAAGGCTTATAAATTGGTGTGTTATAAAGACACATGCACACGTATATTTATTGCAGCACTGTTTACAATAGCAAAGACCTAAATGCTCATCAATGATAGACTGGATAAAGAAAATGTGGCACATATACACTATGGAATACTATGCAGCCATAAAAAAATGAGTTCATGTCCTTTGCAGGGACATGTATGAAGCTGGAAACCATCATTCTCAGCAAACTGACACAAGGATAGGAAACCAAACACTGCATATTCTCACTCATAAGTAGGTGTTGAACAATGAGAAAACATGGACACAACAGGGAGGGGAACATCACACTCCAGGGCCTGTCAGGGGGGTTAGGGGCAGCTAGGGGAGGGTTAGCAGGGGAATGGCGAGATTGGGGAGGGATAACATTAGGAGAAATACCTAATGTAGGTGACGGCGGGGAATGGATGCAGCAAACCACCATGGCATGTATATACTTATGTAAAAATCCTGCACAATCTGCACATGTACCCCAGAACTTAAACTATATATATAAAAAAGATATGGGGCCTTTTTGAAAATGACTAAGTTACGAGAACTCTGCCCTCATGAATGTGATTAATGCCATTATAAAAGAAGCTTCAGAGAAAAATATCATCAGCTTGCTCTATAAACTTGGTTACAGAAAAACATAAGATAATTTTGGCATTTATACCCTTAAAATTAATATACTCAAAATCATGTTTTACTAAATATATTTACATCAGGAATATTTTGTCTCAAAATACAAGTGAGTAAATCTAAATGATTCTTCTGAGAGTAATGTATTAGGAGCCTATATTTATCCAATACTGTGTGAGTACTATAATTTTAAGAGAGAAAAGCCTTAGAAGGTCAATATATTAGCTTTCTTTTCCTATGCTAAGCTACAGTTTGATTATTTCTGAATTTGAAAAGGTACATTTAAATTTTTCTTTCTGAATATCATTATAACCATCTCAAAATATAATTAATTCCCATAGACTTAGAGAAAAAAGCTGGCAGTCCTCTATTTTATAAACACAGATATTCTCTTTGCTTACTAACAGAGGAATATAATGCAAGAAACACAGATGCTGAAATAAGGAGATGGAACGATGCAGGAAATGAGATAAATGCCAATCAGAAAAGGAAACAACAAATGCCAGATGTAGTTCAATAAAACAGCCACTCAGGAGTGTTCACATGAAGCTACTCTGTTCTTCTGAACAATCAACTTCCACTAAAAACATGTTCTGTTGGCATGTGTTGCTCTCAGTCATCTCTTGATCAATTTGTGCTTGGATTTTTAAGTGACTTGAATATGCTTTTAAGTTGTTCTGTGTTTGACTCTTAAATACATTCACATATTGAACAATTAGAATTCTTGGTGATAACATACTTTTAGTTGATCTGTGATTTTGTTGTTGCTGTTTTTTGTTTTTTAAAAAAGATAGAGTTTCACCATGATGGCCAGGCTGGTCTTGAACTCCTGACCTCAGGTGATCCACCCACCTTGGCCTCTCAAAGTGCTAGGATTATAGGCGTGAGCCACCATGCCCAGCTGATCTGTGATGCTTTATATTAACTTACTTAACATATATCGTTAAAATATATTCTGAAAATGTTGTCAGACATTAATTTGGTGAGCTTTGAAATGGTAAAAGGAGTTTTACCATCAC